CATGAAAATCGCGAATTTGCCAGAATTCACCGAGCTGCTCACTTTCAATCACTCGAGAGGTGATCTCTCAATATATGTGAAATGCACTGGCTGCAATTGCAATCACTTGTTTAGCGTGAGAGAATCCACGTACTAACTGCGCTATTCAGGTCATTCATTGAGTGTATTAACTGTAGTGAAAGAGCGGTCCCAAATTCCTCGTATGATTTTATTTTCTTGCTTCTTATGAAGGGGGAACACATTGAATTCAAGATCCCTATATATCAGAAGAGCTGGTTTTTGAGTGTGCCATCGAACCTAGCACTTCTCCGTTATCTCAAAACATTTAAAACATCAGACAAAGAAATTCAACGGTAGGACACGAAAATATTTGAAGTACTTAGAATTCGTAGTGCCTATGATGACTAAAATCTCATTATGTAAAACATTCAACGAAAAAAAAACAAATTCAAAAAAAAGAAGCCATCTTGTAATACACCTCTCGCGCAAGCCCACAAATGCCAAAACGCGCGTATTAAGTGAACGCAGAAGAAGAAAAAAACGACTTGTAAGATACGAGTTGCTGAAATATGCTGATAAGCTCGTTACAAAACTTAATGCGTTCATCACAACTTGCATGAAAAGAAGCGGGTCAACCAAAAGAAAACAAGAAAGAAGCAACTTCAGCGTAAGCCATTAACGATGAAATATGACTACCTCACGAAACAGCGGCAGCAAGTACTTAACAAACAACCGACGTAAAAGCCAAGATCCGCATCGCAACGCTGGGGGAAATCGAAGCGAGGATCGTAGAAATGCAGTCCACTCGTGATTTCCCAACCGCGACCGATGTCTCTCACGAGCAAACAAGATCCGCACTTCACTTCGCCAATACACTAGCGATGATTCAACTGAATTACCAGAAAGAGCAATTTGTCGAGGTCGACATGATGCTGTTGCACTATGGTAAAGGAGCACGAAAGGATGGAGAAAACACTAAAAGAAAATACCTAACAAACGTGCGGTTCAATACAAGAAACGTTCCGAATCCATAAAATTCATTGTTTATAAAAGATAATTTCTAGGAAAAAGCAGAGACACACTTGACATATCCGAAACAGTACCATCTTTCGGAATCGACATGGTGCTTTAAGGAAAAGATATGTATAAAGAAATATGCAAACTATCAAATAAAATAAAATTATATTTTTAAGAAGTATATTTAATCTTTAGTACATTTTTATATTGCATACCGCTCCAGACGTTATATGCCTGCAACAACTATTCTGAAGTTTTCTGGGTCTTAAATATTTCGTTGTTTCGAAAACATGATTTTCAGTACCCACCATCTTACTTTCACGAAGTTATGAACTAGTTGCTATAATTACAGGCAAATAATGGCAAGACTAATGTAAATCACAAAACGAAGTAGATACTCGCTGAAAAGAGTCGTTATAGAGGCAAATGTAATTCTAACCAATCGTAGCGCATTAGGCGTGAGAATTTAATTCATTTAAAGCTAATACATCAACACAAATACGACAATCCCCAACTGTTCCTTCCACATAGAAATACAGTTCAACAATAAGAAATTATTCTCAGTATTTCAAACTGTCGTGGAGACGTTAGCACTACTGTGTTGCAACGTGATACATTTTGAAATTCGAGCAAAAAAATTAGGGAAAATTCAAATTTGCAAATTAAAAACCTTGCAAAATTACAACGATTCTCATCTTTTTAAAAGATTGTGCATATATATAATTTACAATAATAATATCTATCATGGACATGTACTTTTGCAAAACACAGATCGCCAAAACTAGGTCCAGCACCACATTTTACCGTCCTTCGGTATATACGAGTAGAAAATTTACTGAAAAAAATACAAGCCGTTTTCAACAAAAAGATGTTTAAAATTGGCTACATTTCACCCAAAATTACGCGGATACTATTTGTCTGTTCGAGAAATTTTACATGAGCGTATTTCAAGATGTCTGTAAACAACAAATTTCATTAAGAAAAAAATCTTTAATATTGTAGTTACAAGAAAACACCGGAAAAATGGAACATCAATTTTTGAAATATTGGCGATTTTAACAAAAAAGAGACCTATGAAATTTTCAAGAGTTCTTTACGCTTTCCCAGGACAAAGTTAAATAAAAATAAAATAAACTATTTTTGTGAAAAATTTTAATATGTTGTTGAAGCTCTATATAAAGTACCCCTAAAAATTAAAATCGTTCGTTTCAAATATCCACAGAGAAACGTTTAACCTTACAGTTAATCATGCAGTAATTAACTATACGGTAAGTGCTTTTTGGAAAAACAAAGTTATTAATCATGTTTACAAAACTCCTGTTTAGTTTAACACTTATGCACCTGTGTTCATTTTTACTAAACAGGTGCATGACAAACCATAAAAAATCGCGTTTATTGGAGATTACTGCACTAATTGTTGCGTTGACTAATGCCTCTAGTAATATTTACAGAAGAAGATGCGGAGAAAATTACCAATCGAATACATGTCTTACAAGTTTTACTCAAGAGAGTAAAGAGGTCGTATGACCTCTACGTACAATCTACCAATGTATTGTACTTCGCAGACAGTTTGCGAAGTACAATACATTGGTAGATTGTACGTAGAGGTCATACGACCCTTATCTATTTTTAATGTTATTATACATAAACAATTAGCATCATTGATGATGCATCATTCTGCAAAATAATAGTAAACGAATAAGTAATAAAACATTCTCTGGTTATCAGAAAACAGTAAAGGTGAGCAGGATTTTTATGTCCTCGTAATGAAGTGAATTTATCAAGAAATAATCGTAAGATAAAATTTGACTTAAGTTTCATAGTTTAAAAAAAAATAATTTAATATAATATTGCAAAAATATTAGCTGACCTGAAGATGGGAGTAAACTCACGCTCCAGGAACGTTCTGTAATAATAAAATAAAAGACAAAGTTATTTAATGATTCATTTGTATTTTTAGTCTTAAATTATTGTCTGTAAAACTAGGGACATTGCATAATTATTTCTTTTTTACACCATCTGAATGTGGACATGAAACGCTATAGAACTTCGCCGCATCAAAACCAATAACAAATTAAACCAACTTTCAAATATTACTGAAGTTCACAAATTCACAAATGAAATATTACCCTCGTCATTAAGGAAAAGCAGAAAAGCACGCTAGCAAGAATATTATTTTATTTCTTCATGCAAAATTTCACTCCTGATAATAATCAATTTTATAAAAAATTTACATTTTATGAGAAGCTAATCAAATATGCCTCTAACAGTAGGTATAACTATTAAGAGTCTTATAAATTTAGAAGTTTGTAATGAAATTGCAATAATTTGTCCGTGCTTTGAGATTTAAATTTACTGGTATACTATCGTATTTCAAAATCAGAAACGGTCATTATCCTACTTCACCCTTTCATCTTCGGTGGGGTGTGGCACAGAAAAGGTCAGGCATCGTAATTTGGACGCAGCACGTCAATACCAATACTCAATAAAACGAACATTAAGACTGTCCCGACTTGACTTTACATCGTGCATTATTCATCGTCTTCCTCCCACGATGTGTATTCTACGTCAAAAACACGAACGCTTCTCAGGTAGGTCAGCCAGTCCACGAAAAACTAATCGGGGTCGAGCTCATACGCCCGACCCTTCCTCCTCCCCTGTCACCGCCCCGCCCCCCGAGGAGATGCGCGCGCGAGCGCACGTGAGACGTGGAGCAAATTGATGACCTTCCGGTAAGTCAATTTTCTCGACGGGGGTATTCCGAGGAGGGGCCAAAGGGGAACCCTGGGGAACACCCTCTCTGCGCACCGGCCGAGCGGGCCGGGGCGGGGGCGGACGAGCCACCCGGGCACGCGCCAGCGGTCGCGACGGGAGGGCGAGGCGACACAGAGAAAGGGAAATGAAAGGAAATGCGACGGGGGCGGAGGCGGGGGCGCCGAAGTTTGTTGAACTGTGAATAAACAGACCAGGCCGCAACGCCGCCGTCCCGCAGTTTCTACCGTGAAGCACAACAACGACACGACACATTACGTCCAAGCGTGCTCGCCGCCGCCGTTAACGTTACGTTAAAAACCATTAACCATGTAAATTGCGATGAACCTTTAATCGATCAGCAATTGGCTTTTTTTTGTAACGGCACCAAAGCAGCGGGACAACAAAGGAAAAATAACCGAGTGAAAAACTTTTTGCATGACAAACCTTTTGTCATTTTTCCACTTATTTCCTTCTACCCGGCCCCAGCCCCGATCCCTCCTCCTTGCAAACGCCCCCCCCCCCGCCACCTTGCTACTCAAGCCGCTCACACCATTCTTGCCCCGGCCTGGCCCTGCCCGGCCCCTCGCTCATTTCACTTTCCATTCCCCCGCGCGCGAGCACGACGCCTCTCGGGGGTGGCCAGCGAAGCGCTCGCGCCGCGCCGCGCCGCGCCGCCAGGGGCGCCACCGGACAGGCCCCGCGCTCCACCCACAGCACGCCGGCCACTCTCAAGGACGGGGACCGTCAAAAATATCTAGTACGAAATGCCAAAATACGAATATAACTATGTAATGCAAAAGCTACGAATATGTAAGACATTAATGAAATCAGATACATTATAAATACAGTAGAACCCCGGTATTCCGAACTAATTGAGGGTGCGGTCTGTTCGGATTATCCGAAAGAATGTACCGCACATATACAAAGACATCGATAGGATTACCAGATAATGCAACGTAGCGTAGTGATGGCATCATTCAGTTCCTTACGACAAAAGAAAATTACCGATTTTGCAAGTTCCTGAAAGTAAAAGTTACTGCTACATAACCATGTGATATACACCGTAGTTACCTGTGCAATAAACTGTGTTTATTTTCGATAACTTGTTTCAATAATTAGTTGTTCAATTCTGCAGTGATTATAAAATTCTTTCTTTACACTACGAATAAGCATTTTATATATTTTTATTATTTTTCCACCATTCCTAATTTTGTTCGGATTATCCGAAATTTCGGAACTGGTGTGTTAGGATTAGCGGGGTTCTACTATAATACACTAATTATAAAACATATTTACCAAAAAGGACATGACGCTTATCAAAATGTGCCTAAACAAATTTTAAAAATAATACAAACGTTTAAAAAAACATTTGGAGAGCAATCACTTGCATATTTTGCACTATACAACTTTCCCATCAGTAATAAAAGCTTCATTTATGGATACCCAGTATCCAGTACGCAATAGAAGCCCGTGCACAATCAGACGGTATCTACGACCAGCTAATCACTGGCAGCGTGCAGCATTCTTGTCCGAGTGTTAACGCCGGCGATAGCCAAAATTTCTGTGAAATGAAGGTTAAAGGTAACGAAACCTGTCGTCCGTGATACTTTTGACTCTTAAAGGTGAAAATTATCTCAGTCGCTGAAGCGCTCTTACCGCCACTTAGATAACTGAAGCAGGCGCGCCGGACTGTAAGAACACCCGACCGCGTCTTAACGTAGCGCATCTCAATTAGCACTCAGTAATAACGTAGGAAAAAATTAGTATTTCTTTTATAAATACTTATTTTTATTTTAAAAAAGTGAAATAAAATTGGTATATATTAATGGCATAAGAAATGTTTTGTGAAAATAGCAATATATTGAATATGGTACTAAATATGTAAATATGTAAAAAATACTCGTCTGTAACAAAAACTGAATATTGTGTTAGGACTGCGATGATTCACCACGATTACGGTTTTGAGGGAGGTAAGTAAAAATAAGTAAATACATAAAAATCTGGTCTCTAATAATGTGAAGGGAGAAGATTTTTTATGGCCGAAAATTCTTGAAAAATGTATTAAAAAATATGGGTTTATGATGTAAAAATCCTGAAATATGCACTTTAAAATGCAAATAAAATAAACAATATTTTATTTCCTGTAAAAAACTTCCTTGATAAAATTTCAGGAAAAAATGCTTGGTATGAAAAGATGTATATTTTTGCAAACATAATATAATATATTTTTGCTGGAAAAATCATTATAGTAAAAATTCACCTTAGTGAAGTACATTCTATGTTTTGTAGGATTTTTTCCATCATTTATCTTCTGCAAATTTACAAACAATACATAGAAAATATATTGTCCGAAATTCACAGTCATAGTCGAAATCAAAAATAGTTTCACTAAGGTCCTCCAGGTTGGGGGCTATAGACGATATAGGAAATGTATTACTTCTCACTTCCCATTTTGACACCGATAAATATGGTCTTATTTCTTATTTCAAATTTAATAAAAAATATGCCTTAATTGTTTGGTGAAGGAACATTTTTAATCATCTGCACACTTCTACAGGCAGTGCGAGTGGCGGATCTAGCGCGGGGAGGGCATGCCCCCCTGGGGAGACGTAGAGGTTTCGTTCGTTGCCTTCGTTTAAGTGGCAAACTAGATTTTAAAATGTATTTGTTATAATTATGTAATTATTTAAAAGTAATATTTTATAGTAACATAAGCACACTACAAAAATAATACGCAATACAATCACAAATGTTTGTTATTTAACAGAAATCTACGGTGCCCCCCAAACACACGCTCACACAAAACGATCGGCTGGATCACCGCTATCTCAGTCACTGTTGTCGAATTCTAGTTAAGGTCTCTTCGTAGCTTTAACACGAGTTTTACGGATCCCTAACATAATTGTATCACGCTAAAGAATTCATGCTCTTTCTTAGTAACAGAAATGCCAATAATTGTACAGTATGTACAGCAAAATAAAATATGCTTTTAAAATCAGGTAACATTCATTCAACAAAATCCATCATGGTCTATACAGAGGGCAAATAAATAGCTTATTCTCAAAGGGACGTATCTGTATGAAACTTTTTTTCTTCACGAAAGAAAAGTATTAACTTTTAACATTATAGTTCAAATGAAAGACGCACCCTTCAGCACAATACTTGGCAGCGTTATGGACTAGCGTTTTACATTGTTTCGTTGAACTTTATTGAAATGGAAATGGAGGTACGTCCCTTTAGAAATAAGAAATAAGCTTGTCAATGGTATCCTTTTTTCGTAAGCCATAGGTCTTGGAACCTATTTTCAAGTCCTGTCAAAAACCGTTACCTATTGCTGTTGCTGATTAGAAGAGCTAAAATCAAAAAAGTACACTCGCAACTCAATTTTACGGAGAATGTCGAATAAAAAAAGTCAAACAAGACGTTTTCCCGCAAACTAATGATACGAGATGCTTCCATTCTTTGCTTTCATTTCCTTTATAATCACATTGTTTTCTTTTGGGAGAGCAACATCACTTAACAAGAACATTTTTTATGAGCGAACTCAAGGGCTAATTTAATTTCCCTTGTCGCAACATCAAAACGAACTGAAACAACAAAATGAATATATGAAAAGGAAATATTTAAATACCCCCAGGAAACAACAGGAAATTTTGTGCAGTAATTACCAAATAACGCGATCTCTTAACATCCCTAAAACATACAGAACGTAACTACAGGGTCACAAATAATTAGAAGAAGCTATTTCATAAATAATTCAAAAAACATTTTTCAGTGAACGTTCAAAGTCATCGGCAAAGCTCTTCATTCTTACTCCCGGTAAAAACGAACGCAAGACTAATTAATATTATCACATCGTTTAATCCTTGCAAGAAAATAATGAATAATAAAAATAAACGACAGTTGGAATGTTAAAATTTAAAATTAATTTACTTCTTAAGTTTCGTGGGTTTTTATGTCCCATCACTCCAAGCACAACTACATAATACACAGATTTAGTAAGAGAAAACATACTTCTATTTCACATCATCGACTAATTACCGTAATTATGGTAATTAGTTCATCTAAATGTTTTCTCTTACTTAGTAGTACTAGTTGTACTTGAAGTGATGGGGCATAGAAACCCACGAAACGTAGCTGAACTGAAATAAATGCGCCGTTCCTGGAAATCCCAATCTTCATTCGAAAATATTACCTCCAAAGGTCCAATGATTTGTTGGAGATCGCTAAAGTGCAACATCATTTGACAGATCTACAAGAAATTTGGCGTATCTTAAGTTTCTTTTATGGAAAAGGTTTTTATAATGATCAATTCGTCGTAACTATCTACTAGATGGCGCTGTAGCACAAGATGGTGCATCATACAAATTTAAATGCAATTCCCAATCCACCTAGGCTCCACTGTTGCTGGCGTAGGCGTGTGTCGCGGGGCGCGGTCGAGCAGGACAGGACGAAAGGGCAGATAATTTAAAACGGACAAAGCTATTTCTGAGCGAGGAGGCGATTGCGGCACGAGATAACCAGGTCGTAGTAGGGAGGATGGAGCGGAAGAAACCAGGATTGAAATGATCAACAAAGGCGTGCCCGTCTGCGAATGGAGTTAGCTTCACCATGGCTGTCTGGACGATGTTCGGAGGGTAAGGGGAAAAAAAACATAGAGGGCTTCTAGTTCCTTCAAAGCGATCAAGTAATTCCATAATAAATCCATTTCGTAGAAAATCGGCTGAACGATTTTGGCGCTAGCTTTGACCATAGACCGATAGACTGACGTTTTGTCG